CCTCTGATTGCTTGCAAGGGGCATCTGAGCTTGAAAAGGATCTCACTTCTGCTACAGCATGGGGCTCACAGTGGCAAGTAAACTTTAATTCAGATAAAACTCAATTTTTTTCAGCCAATCGTTATCGCAATAATTTAGACCTTCCTATATTTATGAACGGTAATGTACTCGATGAGTCTCCTACCCTTCATCTTCTAGGATTAACTCTTACTTCTGATCTTTCTTGGAAACCTTATATCAAATCCGTTGCAAAATTAGCATCTACTAAAGTCGCTTCTCTTTATTGAACTTGTCACTTTCTTATTCTGGATTCTATTCTCTATCTCTATAAATCTCAAATCCGGCCTTGTATGGAATACTGTTGCCATATCTGGGGTGAATCTTCTAATGATGCCCTTTCTCTTTTAGACAAGGTTCAAAAACGCATTGTAAACATAGTTGGACCTGTTCTCGCAGCCAACCTTCAACCTCTGTCACATCCTCGTAATATTGCTTCTCTTTCTCTTTTCTACAAGTACTATAATGGGCACTACTCTAAAGAGCTAGCGTCTCTTGTGCCATCTACCAAAATTCATTCTCGTGTTACTCGTCATTCAATTAAGTCTCATGCTTTTTCTGTTACTGTTCCTAAGTGCTCCAAAAACTCTTATTTGTCTAGTTTTTTTCCTCGAACATCAGTTCTTTGGAATTCGCTTCCTTCATCTTGCTTTTCTGATTCCAATCTTTTAAGTCGTCTGTCAATCGTTACCTTGCTCTACAATCTTCATCTTTTCTCTTCCAGTAACTTCCAACACTAATTAGTGGTTGCTTGCAGCCTTGTTGGAAGCGAAGATGTTAAAAAAAAAAAAAAAAAAAAAAAAAAGTTCTTAATTTACTTTACAACTTCAGAAGTCAATTTTCTAGGACTACTTTTGTCAGTTGATTTTTTATCAGAAATTTCATTAACATTCTTTGTAATTAAATATGTTAGTAAATAAGTTTTTGAATCTAAAACATCTTTTAGTGATTTTTAGATAGCCTAAAGATAATGCCTTTGATAGTAATCAATTACTTAAATCCTTTGAAATTAAAATTTTTATAATAATCATGTATTAATTTTTTTATACTGAAATATATAAAAATTTAAAAAAGTACACTAAAAATAAAGTTAAATTTAGAAATTAATTACATATCTAAAATCAGTGCTTTTTTCATAATGGAATGCCCTGAAACGGCATTCCGGCACCTTTTTTTAATATAATTTTTTTATATTATTATTCAATGAACTTAGTTTATTTTAAAATATTAAACATTCTTTAATTGGAAAATTATTGTATTTGAAACTGTTTCATTTGGAGAAATTCAAATATGTGTTGAAAAAGTAAAACATTATTTGCTGATTTGAAAACATTACAGCGTTGCATTTCAAAATCTATTGTTTCTTAGCTGTTAGTAAAAATTAAAATTGCTTAATAAGAATTTACAGCAATTTTTTATTAAGCAAAATGTCAAGATTATTTATCTTCTGCAAAAAACTAAACTTAAAACTAAACTAACTTAAAACTAAACTAACTTAAAACTAAACTAACTTAAAACTAAACTAACTTAAAACTAAACTAACTTAAAACTAAACTAACTTAAAACTAAACTAACTTAAAACTAAACTAACTTAAAACTAAACTAACTTAAAACTAAACTAACTTAAAACTAAACTAACTTAAAACTAAACTAACTTAAAACTAAACTAACTTAAAACTAAACTAACTTAAAACTAAACTAACTTAAAACTAAACTAACTTAAAACTAAACTAACTTAAAACTAAACTAACTTAAAACTAAACTAACTTAAAACTAAACTAACTTAAAACTAAACTAACTTAAAACTAAACTAACTTAAAACTAAACTAACTTAAAACTAAACTAACTTAAAACTAAACTAACTTAAAACTAAACTAACTTAAAA